TGTTTATTTTTTTCTTATTAAATGTACTTCTATTGTTTTTTTCACATTTCAATAAATAAATAAATAAATAAACAAACAAATAATAAGCAAGTTTTTTTCATATTTTTCCCTTCTTTTGCAATATGGCATGGTGGACCAAAAATCAAACTTGACTGATCATGGAACAAAAGTAAATGCTGCATTATGTCCTTCTATCTCATATTAAAATTTATTAAACTAACATTTTCAAATTTTTTATTTTATTTTAAAATCTTTGTTATGTTTTAAATTATATTCACATATTTTAACAAATATACCTATACATTTCAATGCAAAAATAAACAAAAAATACGGCATGCTGGACCAAACCAAAGGTCATCAGGTCAACTCTGGCCTGCGGCTCCTGGTTTTGGCATCTCTATACACCTTTCTGAGTATTGATGCATTTATACGCTGCCAACACAGGCAGCCTACAAGGTTTTGGAGTGAAGCCCGTGTGTCTCTTATGTAAACTGTGGTGTGTTTATTTGATTGGGACTGTGGTGTTAAATGATAGCAGAAACCCAATGCACAGCCATTTCATTTCCATTTTCCGACTCCGACACCTCGAACGGGATTTGAAAAATGTCCTACTTAACAAAGACTCCAGAATACGTAAGCGCTCTAATTTCTCTCTAATTATAAATGGTCCGCTGCACTAATAGAGAAGGATTGCAAGATTTAAAGGAGGCGCTGATCTGATCTCTCTTGTTACAAAACACTAGAAACAAAGGCCAGAATCAGCAGATCATCTCAGTATAAAGGAAATTAGATTCTGACAAGCAGAACGGCATATTTTGCTTTGTTTTCTGAGTTATATATGTGAAACAAAGAAGGACTCAAACTCTGGCCAGATGGCTTAAATAATAAAAAATAATTGGGTGTAGGATTCAATTTTCACTCAAAAATTTCTAGTAATTTCACCATAATTGCAAAGAAATGCCAAATGACATGACATTTTGAGCTGGAAAGACTTTTCTTGTAAAACATTCAATAATGTTTATTTACAACTTGGAAAAATCATTTTTTACAATGTCTGTGAGTCAGACGGTCTCTTCCGATCTATGTTGGTGGTTTTTGGCAAGAAAAACCTGCAATGAATACCAGATTTAATGGCAAATGTCTAATATCCGATTAAGGAGACGCATTTTTAATCAAATGCATGTCTCAGAAATCCTGCTTACAAACAGAGAAAGCACCGGACGGTCGGCTGCTGTGATTTGTGTCCACGTGACACAGGCGGCGCTCACACGAATCCTCAGCTCACCCATACGCTGTCTGTCAGCACAGACTCCCAGCGACACGCTGCAGATCATTCAGCGCTCAGTGCTGCTCACAGCTCAGACCACAAACACTCTTCAGAAGTCACTCGTCTCGTCCACCGCCAATCACAGATCAAGCCTCTGAAAGCCCCGGGCACAAACACTTCTGCTCAACAGCAGATTTGTTCATTTTCTTTATTTTGAAAGATGTTGCTTCTATTTTAAGACTAAGAGCAAACAGCGATTCGACCAATCACAGCACGACTGAGAGAAAGAAAACATGCTGCTTTGAACAGCAACACAGCATCATATTTAGCAGTGAAAAACTGGGCTTTCTTGAAGGATTGTCCACTTTATTCAGACTAAAATCACTTGCATGCTCAACGTATCATAACTATGATGTGTTGGCACATTCTCAGTAAACTGGCGCACCTCAAAAAGGCCCACAAACATGTCTGATCATCTGTGTATTACCAAACATCAACCAAATGCAAGCAAAACTCAAAGATTCAAGTGCATGTGAATGTTCCTGTTTTGAAATTGTTTTCATGTAAAAATGTAAAAAAAGCAATTACTTTTGTTTCCCATCAGCCCCTGAAAATGTTAAAAATAAAATAGTTATAGTTAACTAAACCATAAAAACTATTTTTGGTACTTGAAATAATTTTTTAAAAATAATAATAATAATAATTAGTTTATTGTTTATTTTCAGTAAATTTTTTATTTCAGTTTTAGTTAAAGTTAAATAATAAAAAAAAATAATAATAAAAATTACAAAAATACAACAAAATTACTAAAACAACTAAAATGAAAACGGAAAATGCAAAATTAAAATCAATCAAAAAAAAGAGACTTTAATAGTATTTCAATGATACTAAAATAGCACTTGTGCAAGATTAGCTTGTAGGCTTATTAGGATTGTTTAACATATACCTTTTTACATAATAAAAATATTTATTTTTTATACTGAAGCCCTAAAAAGTACACTTAAACCATGCTTAAAATGCCTAAACATGACTGCATTAAATAATGAAATATCAAAAACTATTTTAGCATCTATATGTATCATCAAACATGGACCAAATGTAATAAAAATTCAGAGCACCGGGTATGAGTTTATTCCTACTGTGAAATCAAAAATGGTTTTCATTTTTACAACAAAAAATAAATAAATATTTTACAAAAAGCATATTTATTTGCTAGTTTCTTTAGCTTGAAATGATAAAACAATAGATAAAAAAATTAAGACAAAGTGTTGTGAATTGAACTTGTGATACTTTGTGTGTAATGCATTGACATTTTTAAGTGAGACTTTTATCCACATACTTTTGCAGCCACTGTATAATTTTTTTATATATATAAAATTAAATGCTAAACAGCACTGCATTGATTATCATAGTAAGTAATACAGCACTAGTATTCATTTGCGGCAGGCATTACATAGGCAACAAATACATTAATCAAACGTTGTGCAACTAAACTGTCAGATTCAGCCACGCTAGTGCCCTTAATAGTGCGCCACCCTAACATTTTCAACGTTTCCTGGAAGCATCACATGCCGCAGTGAGCAAACACAAACCTGGCGTATATCCGATGAATATTTCACAAACTGTAACTTCTTAAATGCTTTGAGTCAACATCAAGAAAAGACTTCCATAAGTACGTGAAAGCATAAATTATTACACACCCGAGTATGAAGCTGCATCTCAGCCAAGGAAGAGACAGACCCGACGGGAAGCTCCTGCTCACAATATCCCACATCCGATGTGCATGTGCCCAACGCTGTGTTCGATTCTTACATAAGTCGCCTGGCCATAGACCCTCATGTGTGACAAACCCCGCCCTCTGTTGACGAGGCGGCTAATTAGAAATCAACAAAAATAAGCCGCTTTCACAGCAACATGAGGACCAGAGGAACATGTGATGCACACTGGGTGTTCATACAGGACACAGTCTTGTGTTGAACGCAAAACTAATGTCCAAAATAATCATATAGATCATATAATAATATAGTATAGATACATATTATTAACACATATTATAGATAATGACTAACCTCAGGATGCTCCAGTCACTCGAAAACATAAACAAAACATTTATATTGGATAAAATATTGTTTTACTACTAAAATCTCAACATGAAAATTACAGCATTGCCTATATGAAATATATAAATAAAAGATACAAAAAAAAACGTATTCTTATTGTTAACTACATCTGAAATAAAATTAAACAAATATTAGATGAAACTTAAATGAAAACTAAAAATGTTGCCTTGGTAACTGAGATAAAAAAGTGCTAAAATTACTCAAATTAAAACTGAAATAAAAATAAAAGTTGTATATAAACATATAAAAAACACTAATAAAAATCACAAAGCACATAAAATTACTAAAACTTAAAAACCAAAATAAAAAAAAAATGAAAATTTAAAAATAAAAGCCGAATGAAAATATAAATGAACATTATAATAGTATATAAATAATACTAACATAACACTGACTTTACAATAATGTCACATTTGTTAACATTAGTTAATGCATTAGCTAACATGAACTAACAATGCACAATATATTACAGAAAATTGTTAATGTTAGTTAATAAAAATACAATTGTCATGCTAGTTCACAAAAAAATGAACTAAGATTAATCAATATTGTATTTAGTAATACTGTATTTAATAAATATTGAAGTAGTTAATTGCAAGTTCACTACTCAGTTCAACTTATCAAATGAGTCCTTATCATAAAGTATTACCCAAAAATTATACATAAAATAATAATAATAATAATAATAATAATAATAAACCAAATATAAACTTTAAGTATAAACAATTATAATGTAAAATGTTCACATTATATACGGGAGTATCAACCCTGTAGTACTGACCAAAAAATAAAATTAAAATAAATAAACTTTACATATAAACAATTATAATGTGAAAATTTCACAATATATACTACATGTGGAGTATCAACCCTGTACTACTGACCAAAAAAAATATATATATATAAATAAATAATAAAATTAATTAATTAATAAGTAATTATACTACTACTACTAATAATAATAATAATAAAGTTTTGTTTGTTACCACACAGTGACTTTTGAATGTCCGTCAGTAGAGAAAGATGCAATTAGTCCAGAAAAAGATGTAGTTGAATCATCTACCAGCAGGGGTTAACTGGATCAAACTAACCTGTCAAACCTTGGCCTACACAATGGCCAAAGACGTCTATCTAGTGCATGTGAACACAGACCAGCAAGTTCAATACTTGCACCCAAAACAAGTATTTTTAGAAGCATATGTAATAAGCTCATGTTCCCATAGACAGAAAAGAGCCAAAGCGAGTCCTTCTCACTCCAAAGGAAGCAGCTGTGGACTCACGTGTTGCTCTTAGTCTCCTCAGATCTCATTTATCTCATGTCAGTAAAGCAGAAAGAAAAAAGCAGCATTAGTATCTTATACCGGTTCGTCACTTCAGAAGCCTGACGTGCGTTTCTGCATGCAAATGCACTGCGTGAAGCTTTGCTCGAGTCTTAAGCAGATCAAAGCCGATGTCGCTCTCAAACCCGCGCGGAGTCACCGTGTGCAGTGCGGCGAGGAGGATGGAATCAGTATTCGGGACGCGCGGATGGAGGGAACGTGGCGGGTTACGCCAGGAAGCGTCAACAGTCAAACATCTGCATCGGGAGGAAGGCTGAATGCAAACACACTTACTTGACGTAGTAGTCGCGGGCCTCTCTAGAGGACGACATCTCCCAGCCATTGGAGGGTCCCTGTGTGGATGGCCAACTCCCGGCGGCCGGCGGAGGACAGCATGAGGACTTGGTCCTGTGACTGCAAGAAAAACACAAGACGACAGCGGTCAGGAGTCAGAGACGCTGTAAGGAGCAGAAACCGTGTTTAGACTGCGCTTTACAATAGTGTCATTCTTCAGTTCAATTCAGTTCAATAACCGTCAATGTTTTAAAATTCAATTATGAAACAGATTCAGTTCAGATGTAAAGCAGCTCAATAGAAAATGTCATTATTCAGCTTAATTCAGTTCAAAAGCTGATTCAGTTCAGTTAAATAACGGTGTCAATGTTGCAAAATTCAATTATGAAATGAATTTACAATAGCGTAATTCTTCAGCTCAATTCAGTTAAATAACTGTGTCAACGTGTCAACTGTATTCAGCTTAATTCAGTTCAAAAGCTGATTCAGTTCAGTTAAATAATGGTGTCAATGTTGCAAAATTCAATTATGAAATGAATTTACAATAGCGTAATTCTTCAGCTCAATTCAGTTAAATAACTGTGTCAACGTGTCAACTGTATTCAGCTTAATTCAGTTCAAAAGCTGATTCAGTTCAGTTAAATAACGGTGTCAATGTTGCAAAATTCAATTATAAAAAAAATTATTCAGTTTTAAAGCAACTCTACAGAAAATTTCATTATTCAGTTTAAATCAGTTCAAAAGCTGATTCAGTTCAGTTCAATAACGGTGTCAATGTTGCAAAATTCAATTATGAAATGAATTCACATTAGCGTCATTCTTCAGCTCAATTCAGTTCAATAACTGTGTCAAGGCTGCAAAATTAAATTATGAAACAGATTCAATTCAGTTGTAAAGCAGCTTTACAGAAAATGTCATTATTCGGCTTAATTCAGTTCGAAAGCTGATTCAGTTCAGTTCAATAACGGTGTCAATGTTGCAAAATTCAGTTATGAAATGAATTCACAATAGCGTCCTTCTTCAGCTCAATTCAGTTCAATAACTGTGTCAATGTTGCACAATTCAATTATGAAATGAATTCACATTAGCGTCATTCTTCAGCTCAGTTCAGTTCAATAACTGTGTCAAGGCTGCAAAATTTAATTATGAAACAGATTCAATTCAGTTGTAAAGCAGCTCTACAGAAAATGTAATTATTCAGCTTAATTCAGTTCAAAAGCTGATTCAGTTCAGTTCAATAACAGTCAAATGTTGCAAAATTCAGTTATGAAACGAATTCACAATAGTGTCATTCTTCAGCTTAATTCAGTTCAATAATTGTGTCAATGCTGCAAAATTCAATTATAAAACCAATTCAATTCCGTTTTAAAGCAGCTGTACAGAAAATATCATTATTCAGCTTAATTCAGTTCAAAAGCTGATTCAGTTCAGTTCAATAATGGTGTCAATGTTGCAAAATTCAATTATGAAATAAATTCACAATAGTGTCATTCTTCAGCTCAATTTAGTTCAATAACTGTCAATGCTGCAAAATTCAATTATAAAACAAATTCAATTCAGTTTTAAATTATTATTATTCACCTTAATGAATTCAATTAAAAATGTATTCAGTTCAGTTCAAGAAATAGTGTCAATGTTGTAAAAATTCAATCAATTATGAAACAAATTCACAATAGTGTCATTATTCAGCTCAATTCAGTTCAAAATCAGTGTTCATGTTGCAAAGTTCAATTCAGTTTCAGGTCTACAGAAGACAATGGTCATTATTCAGCTAAAGTTAGTTTTAGTTCAATGTTGAGTACATTCAGTTCAGTAACTGTGTAAAGTTCATCAATTATGAAACAAGTTCAATTTCAACTGTAAAGCAGCTTTGAAAAAGACAATAGTGTCATTATTCAGATCAATTCAGTTCAGTAACCTTTAACCCCAAAGTGATTCATCATAATGTGTTACAGGAATTGACCATTTTCATTTACACATGAACATCTCATGACTCAATGTTTTCAGTGTCCTTTGAAAATGAATTAAGGCAGCCATGAATATTTATATTGTAATTTTACAGTTGTGCTGTAAAATAAAATTGTTTATTATTTTACTTTTCTTAAACACTGTATTTATTTTACACTGAAATATTAGTAATAGTAAAATAGTAATATTTCATGTTTCATGTTTTATTTAGTAGTAGTATTAACAATAATACAATTATTTTATAGCTTGTTATTGTTGATAATTTATTTATATTTTATAAATCCTAAATAAACTTTGCATTAAAAAAAGCAAGATATATCTAATTATTGCTGAATCTATTTACTTTTAAATACTGAATGTGAACTATAATAGCACAAACAGTATATGGAGTTATTAGTCGTAGACTGTGAGCGTCTTTCTCCTCTCTAAAGCGGCAGAATATCAACCGCTAACAGCCTGGACTTCATTTGTGACAGTGATTTAATTATATTATGTAATGCAATCATGCAAGCCTCAAGATTGTCATGCTTCAGTCTTGTACGCTAAGAGCCGTGAAATTTATCTAATGCTGAACTGCTGGCAGATTCCTTAGAAAGCCTGATATCCGGTGGGCTGTTTGATCAAAGCAGTGTCAGCCTGAGCTTCACCATTATATAACAGATCAGGGAACGCACACATGACTCACTGTATTAGTGTGAAGCTCAAGGGCGAAATTTACACTAAAGTGCAGCAAAGATAGTTACAGAATCCAAACACCCACCCAAAGTCAAACAGAAATATAGATGATGATACACTCAAGCAAAGCTGCTCCTAACAATAAAAGCACTGGCCACATGTTTTAAGCCTTTAAAATTCAATAAAAAATTATATATAGAATTTTTATTCATTAATACTGATACAATTTCAGTTTTATTTTTTATTACTTATCAATGTAATGTATTAATAGGGATGGGCATTTTTCAAAAAGTACGTTTAAAGGAGTAGTTAACTTCCAGAATAAACATTTCCTGATAATTTATTCACCCCCATGTCATCCAAGATGTTCACGTCTGTCTTTCTTCAGTCGCAAAGAAATTAAGGTTTTTGAGGAAAACATTCCAGGATTTTTCTTCATATAATGGACTTCAATGGTGCTCAACGGGTTGAAGGGCCAAATCGCAGTTTCAGAGCAGCTTCAAAGAGCTCTACACGATCCCAGCCGAGGAATAAGGCTCTTATCTAGCCAAACCATCGCTCATTTTCTAAAAAAAAAAAATAATTTATATTTTTAATGCTCGTCGTGCACTAGCTAGACTTCACGCATGACGTAATCACTTTGGAAAGGTCATGCGGAAGCACCGACCCAGTGTTTACAAAGCCAACGTGCAAGTCAAATGCCCTTTACAAAAAAAGGTCTGCGATTTGGACCTTCAACCCGTTGAGCACTATTGAAGTCCATTATATGGAGAAAAATCCTGGAATGTTTTCCTCAAAAACCTTCATTTCTTTGCGACTGAAGAAAGAAAGACATGAACATCTTGGATGACATGGGGGTGAGCAAATTATCAGGAAATTTTTCAGAAAATAAAATTATAAGGAGAATGACGTTATTTTTTAATAATCAAGTTTTTGACACCATTTCTGAAAAAGCTTATGATTAGGCATTAAACACAACCATGTTCTACAGCAACGTTACGTCATATCTCAAGGTTTTCTTTTAGTTGAAAACGTGTGTAAACAAAAAATAAATATATATATATATATATATAAAGAACAAAAGCATTCAAGCTCAAGCATGTTTATCGTGTTTATGTTGTTTCAAGATCATTTATTAAGATAATTTTAATCAAAGTAATTCCAAACATTCTGTGATCAAATACAATCAACTTGTTAACTCGTTCCACAGTTCATTTAGTTATAAGTGACTTTGTGCTTAGGATTTATCATGGATTCCCTGCATTTACTGCCAGCAAAGCAAAACATAGTAAAATTCGAATAGTGTTTTTATTTTTCAAATAATAATTACATATTGAATATTCGACTATTAGTGCATACCCCTATGTATTAATGTAATTTTTGATGTAATTTTTATCAATGTTGATACATTTTTAATTTTATATATGATTACTTAATTAAAATAATTATTAATAATTTAATTAATTATACAATAAATAAAATAATTCAATAATAAATAAATAAGAGCAAATGCATATACACTGAATATCATCAAAAAGCTGAACAGTACCGTATCAACCAGCAAGGTAATATCACAATTGTATCAATTTTAGTTTTATATTTTTATTGCTTATTAATGTAATGTATTAATGTAATTTTTATCAATCAAGTATATATTATTAATCATATTTACAATATATATATATACTGTATATATATGCACCTTGCTTATTAGTATTTTACGTTCTCTGATAATGAATAAATAAATCAATCAATCAATCAGAGCAAATACATATACACTGAATATAATCAAAAGGCTGAAAAATATCAACCATATTTTTCCCAGTAAGGTTATATCATCCAGACCTACTTCTCAAAGAAAAAAGAAAAAAAAAAAAACTGAAAGCAATTTTGTTTTAAATTGATTTTATATAATGATATCAGACAAAAACAGCAGGATGCAGACAGGAATATGATCTTAAATGAGCTGCAGTCTGTCAGAGAAGAAACCAAGTAACTGAATTACAGTAATACAATTCAAAGGCTTAAAATGCCATCAAAGACGTCTTCCTCAACTGATGCGTGCATTCAAGAGGAAAAACTTCCGGCCGTCTGAACCTCCTCACAGTGACAGGATGAACGACAAAATGCACTTTTCTGACTCATAACGAGGTTCTTTGCATTTATTATTTAAACACGCCTCCTGTAAGAAGCAACTGTACTGTGATTATGTGCACTAGTTATGCAAAAAAACACTGAAAACTCACAAACTGATTCTTAATAAATTAACATTCAACCTACTGTTTTCTCAATATAGTCCTATATGCAGCAAAGTGTGTGTGTGCATATGTGTGTTTTTAATATATTAATAAAATATATATTGCATAAAATATATGCAATATATTTTAATACAATTTATTAAATTATTATAAATATCATAAAATTAAATAATATAATAATGTATATGATTCCTTGTAGATTATAGATGCCATTTCTTC